CAACCATGCAAGAAGAATTGGCTGAATTTGATAGAAATGAAGTATGGACTCTCGTCCCTCCTCCTCCGAACCACCCTATTATCGGTACAAGATGGGTATTCACAAACAAACTTGAAGATGTTGGAATTATTATTCAAAACAAATCAAGATTGGTTGCTAAAGGATTCACTCAGATCAAAGGTCTTGACTACGATGAAACTTTTGCTCCTGTTGCACGTCTTGAAGCGATCATGGAAAATCCATATCATGTTGAATCGGAGACTGATTTTGCACACTAGCTTCGAAATTAGACTCAGGAACCACCTCGTCCATTGATTCTTGAATCACCGTTTTCGTCTTTTTAGAGATACGCTTCGCCAAATCCTTAGTACTTTGCTTCTTTGATGCAGGAGACACCGGGGAAGGAATTTCGCGAATCACCACACCCTTGCGAGTAACTTGTGGTTTGCGAATCCTCTTTGGTTTCGCTACATGCACGACTTCTCTTTTTGGAGAACGGCGAGGTCGATGAGCCATTTTCTTTAACCTTTTTCAGACTCCAAATTTCAAAGGCATAGTCTCCTTTGCTTGAGTAGTAAAGACTTCAACAATGGGTGTAATAATCCATAGGAATTGGAACTGAAACCGGTTTGACAACTTTCTTTGGAGTAACCTTAGAAAGTTTTTCAACAAGTTTAGGAGTAGCCTTCGAAGGAATAACGTTAACATTCTTCTTCGAAACTTTTCTTTTCTTGGATGGTCCACCAACTACTTTTGGAAAAAGAACCCCATTTTCAATCGAAGGATTGATTGTTTGGAGATACTCCACCAGTACCGGATTTGTAGGCTTGAATCTTCGAAGCATCGCATCAGGGATGTGTGCAACCGATGGGAACTTAGTAAGATCATCCTCCACTGTCTTCAAATGTTGATATACAACAAAATCAACTTTTTGAGCATGCCCTGGAACAAAAATCCCTTTCTTTTCATAAGCAAACTTCATAATTAAACTCTAATAACGAGCACACAAAATCCCATTTACCACATTCGTATTGAGAATGCTCTTTGCAAACTCTTCCCACAGCTGAGTTGCATAATCAACCAGTAAGTAATAATAAATCCTTGCGACCAAAGTATAAATTTCCAACTTCGCCTTGTCCAACCCAACACTTCGATCAGTGTGGCATCGAAGAAAAATCCCAAATAAGAAATTATGGATACATGGTATATATGATTTCTTGAAATCACTTATATTTGTGATAGGTGGTTGATAACCCATCTCGTTGAACATATGCATCATCTATTCATTTGTAACCTCATAGAAAGGTTCGACAGTTGGGATATCCACGATTTGAGAAAACATCTTCTTGGTGAGCTTAAACTTCTTATCATTGGTTAAGTGGAAAGTAACCACTTTGATGGTCTTGTTGAACACTATAGTAGACCCGAAAAAAGAAAACCAAGTCACTGGAACAGAGAAGGAAGCAAACATCACCGTAGAGAGAACGAAGTTGTTTAAGGAAACGATCAACATCTTCAGTTCTTCTGGATACTGAGTAACATCTGTTTGAACACGATAGTTTGTGCTTTGAATCTTTAGTAATGGTTGAGAAACATTGTCATCTGAGGTCTGAGAAGGACCAACAATCTTTTGTGGACCTGCCATTGTTAGGGTTTTGAAAGCTTTTAAGAAAACAGAGCATAAAAGGGAAAGAAAATTTGGAGATATCTTAAGTACGTCAAGTTGGAATAGATAACACCAAAGCCCTTATATATTTAAACCCCAAGTTTCAATTTGAAGCGATTAAGCATTAACATCGTGACACGTAAAGCCTTTAAAATTAGGCCAGTACCCAGAAAAGTAGCCACATCTGAAAAAGTGATCATCACTTTTTCCTTGAAAACAACAAAGCAACCAAACCGTCACATCAATCAGTCTGTTCGCGCACCACAATAGGATAAGAATCGTTAGTAACCCTTTAGCATGGATGCTGGGCTCTTTCGCTTTTGGGTTGAGAAGCGAAGTCATATGCTAGACTTGCAAAATCTTCATCCTGAGTTGGTATTACTCAGAACCTCAAGGATTTCTTGAGTGCAAATGTGTGCCAAGGAATAAGAAAAGAAGAAAGTACAATAAAATTTGGATCTATGATGTCAAATATCCTTTGACATAAATGCAGATAGATCCTGGGCAAAGATCGCTTTGTTGTCCATCAAGAGAGATGGTGAACAACTTGTGTGGTTTCCCGTGAATTAAAATCAAATACTTATATAGAAGTATCAAAGGGATTCTTTTAGAAATGCTTTGCGGGTGGACAAAAAATTTCTTTACATACCACAACTTAACATAAGTGTGAGTAATTGTAAACAAAAGTACTTGTTTGACCAATATAGTCAGTGACAAGTATGTTTTGGAAAATATTTCAAGCAACGAAGGTTGAAACTCATATTCAAACAGATTTCATATTCCAATAAAAATAAGTATGTACTAGACCTTGTAGGGTAAAAATGTTGTGGGTTTCGAACATTTTATCAAGATCACTCAGAACGAAAGAATATGATTTTTAATATCGAAAGAATGTACAGGAACAAATATTTCGTTAAAATCTTGAACGAAAAGTTCACCGTCAATTCCTTATATATTTTGAAATTGTGGGTTTCACTTTCATCAGGGTCTCATGAATCTAGATCACAAACACAAAATGTTTACATACTTATAACCTAGTTGGTTTTGACCAAAGATGTCTTGGGTATGTGTCTTTGTGTGTAATCGTGAAAGAACATTAGGATGAAAAAGATGTGGTTAAGAAATGAATTGTACCGCTTTTATTCATGGTCCAAGCAAGAAACTCTTAACTCAATATGAGAAGAGTAAGGTAGCTCAATGACTAATGTGAATACAGCCTAATTGAGAAATATTTATCATGATAAGTTATCCATTAAGGCTTCGAAGCACATTGAGTCGTGGAGGCTTGGGTCGACATGCTGTAACATGATTCTAGGGACACCTAAATAGTGTAAAGGATCGAAGTGATACCTTCCCCAAAGCTACAAAGCATGATCCATCAGATGTCTTCGCTACATACTACACAAAGAATATTAACAAAAAATATTGTGATATGCCCGGATGGCGCCAAATGGTGTGATATGTCAGAGAAAAGATGTGTCGAGATTGTCGGTGAATCTTGTAGAAACGACTTCCCTTGATATCATAGTACAAAATGTTGTGATACGTCCGGATGACGCCAAATGTTGTGATATGCAAGTGAATGGATGTGTCGAGATTACCGGTGAATCTTGCAGAAATGAATTCCCTTGATATCATAGTACAAAACATGATAGAGATCGTTAGTCGACGTCCGGGAGGGGATCTCAGGACGAAGCTCCGACGATCTAGTTAGTATGAGATCTAAGAGAGATGGTAAGCGATTACAGAGAAGAGAGAATTATGTCCCCTTCTTCGTGAGGAAGAGGGATCCTTTTTATACCTGTCTCAGAGGCGTGTCTTTCAACTGATTCTGTTGAGGATTCTCTCGTGAGGTGCGATATGGCGGACCCATATTGGAGGGTCCTCTGTTACGTCTTTTACCTCATTCTCCCATTGGCTGGGAAGGAGATATTCCAAATGTTCACGAAGATCGTGGCTATTGTCTGATGAGCGTGTGGGACTATCTGACTGGTCCGACATTTTCCAGGGCATGATTTCCCGGAGAAAGGGTTAGGGCACGACTCTGCACCTTAACCGCCTTATCAGCGCCCCTCGTGTTGGCGAACGCCCAGACTTGGCTTTAGACTGGGTTTTGACCAGGCCAAGCCCTGTGTTAGTTTGACATCTCTTTTGATGTTTCCTGGAGGGATACGTTAACAATTATGTTCAGCATGAATTTCTGCATCAATAGCCCTATCAGGAATACCAAAAATTAAATCCTAATCAAAATCTAAAGAATTCAAACTTTGTGATTCATCATCTAATTCATCTATGATTGGTTTTTATTCAAAGCATTTTCAACTCTTTAAACAAAATAATCATCAAATGTAAGATTAGATGTTTATTCGATTTTCCGAGTTCGCTGATTTAACACCCTATATGCAACCGAATTATGAGAATATCCCAAGAAAATTCTTTCATCAACTTTTGACTGAAATTTCGAAAGCTTATCCTTAAAATTCATAATGAAGCACCTACAACCAAAAACATGAAAAAATTTAACATTAGATTTCCTATTATTAATGATTTCATAAGGGGTTATTATAAAACGAAGATGAATGAAAGATCGATTCTGAATACAACAAGCCGTCGAAACTGCTTCAGCCCAAAGATACCGTGGAAGGTTCGCATATGTGAGCATTGTTCTTGCGTCTTCGCAGGGAGACCTATTCCTTCTTTCAACAACACCATTTTGTTGTGGCGTGTAAGGAGAGGAAAAATTATGTGAAATTCCCTTACCAGTTAAAAACGAATCAAGAGCTTTGTTCTTAAACTCGGTGCCATTGTCACTCTTGATCTTACAATCATTTTTCTTCAGACTTAACTCAATATGTTTGATGAAATCGATCATTACGTGGACAGCTTCTGATTTGAGTCGTAGAAAATATACCAAGGACTAAAGCAGAAAAACATTGACATTAGGGACTAAAACTGACGACAAACCAAAACCGGTGAAGATAACCATGAAGAACACGTGTCCACACGTGGCCATAAAGAATTCAAAAAATTAGTTTTGCCAAAACCTTACAACAAAGATGGTCATATATATATATATATATATATATATATATATATATATATATATATATATATATATATATATATATATATATATATATATATATATATATATATATATATATATATATAGAGAGAGAGAGAGAGAGAGAATTAATTTGTTAGTTAAGAATATGTTTAAAGTTTAAACCCAAAACCCTTCAATCCATAAACTAAAAAACGGATCCTAGAAACCGAACCCGAAAAATAGTAAAATCCACAATTTGTCCTTCACAAATTAACATTGTTTCATAACCAAATTTCTAAAACCAATTTCCAGCCCGGCCCAGTTTCCATCAGTCCATATAAATATCTCGAGAAACACACAGACACGCGCGGTGCTCGAAGAATGGGGGCGGCGGAGGCGAACGGAGCAGAGCAGAACTCGTCTGCTACGGAGACGGAACACGTGGAGGCCTTGCTTGAGGTAAAACCATTTTAATACGTACTTTCATTGTCTATATATTCCTTTACTCCCCTTCTTGCATAGCTCAGTGTGTCATTCGCTCTATGATGCATTTAGAGATATATGCTTGATGGGTTTTGTGATTCGATTAGGGTTTGCAAAGACTATGCATAGTGATGTTACGCTTAGGAGTAAATAAAGAATCTGTATTTAATTCAATTCAGTGCTCAGTTAATTGAACGAATATCACCACATTGTTCAACCATTTTTCGAAAGGATTTCCAACTGATTGCAAGCTTCAGTTATTGAATACGGAATCAATAAGAAAATTGTTTTGCAATAACCTTTTCTTTTTTCTATCCATATTCCATATTCAGTCCAAATGAATTTTACTTTTTGGAGGGAACTCTGCCGATTGATTGTTAATCTTGTTGATCAATCTTACTTATTGGCTGTTATTTGGTTTACAGTTTTTTGTTCGTCTTCTTGATCAATTGGGCTGTAATTCATCAATTTTAGGTCATTTCTGTCTTCTTCTGGTCATTTCACTTCTTTTCAATGGCTAATTCATGGCCTTCTGATTATCATCAAGGGATACAATAAGGTGCTGTTTGTTTTTCTGAGCCAAAATGTCTACGGTAGAAGAGGTGGGCCAAATGTCTGCATTCTGAAATAGAAGACTTTTGTTTTTTAACATCTGCGGTGTTTTAGAATAAATTAAAATATAATTAAACGGATTTAAAATAAAAACTTAAAAGAGTTTTTTTGATAAGTTTATGACTTTATTATATATAATTAACAAATGTAGATCAACTTTTAAGCATTATTGTATAAAAAGTGAAAATAAAATGGTAAGAATTATTGTATATATTTGATAAAAACCAATAAACTTTGGTCATAAAGTTATACCTAAACACTGTAATTAGGGATAAAAGAATTTAAAACATAACATGAATGAAAATAAACTTTGATTTTAAATGAAAATTTTCAAATTTTATATTTTACTTTTTCAATTAAATCAGTTAAAAACTTACCATAAATATTTTTTTCAAAAAAATGAAATGTTGCATTAAGTAATGTTTTATAAAATTTAGCATAAAAAATATAAGACAATATTATAATTTTTTTTAATATCTATATAATCAGCTCCACCAATTAATATTATTATTGTAATTTAATATTTATTTATAAATTTGTCACAAAGGTTATGATTGTGTTATCAAACCTTTTTGCTTTAAGTATTGTAACTTTTTCTTCCAATTTATTTATCATAAATAAAGTTGGAATAAATCTAAGCTTAAAAAAACAAATAAAGTCTATGTGTTTTTTAAGTTAGAAGATGCCTGAAGAGGTTTGAAAACTCTGGTCCATATCTGCACTAAGAAGAGGACGTGTAGACCTTTTTAGGTCTGCAGTCTTCAAAAAAAAGTCTGTGAAGCCTAATGTCTGCTCGTGGTCTGCACGACGCAAACATTGGGGGCCAAAATGATCTGCAGACAAAAAAACAAACAACACCTAAGTGTCCAAAATGTTTGTTCTTCATTGAAGAGGTCAATGTTTATAGCTCTTTTGTGGTACTCTAGGAGAGATGTGAACATCATTAAGATTTTGTGGGTCTTGAATGCATTTGGTCTCATGCCTATGTGCACTTGTGGATCTTCTAAAGCAATTTCTAAGAATCTGCAAAAGAGTAAAGACTCATACAATTTCTAATGAAACTCAAAGACACCCTTAAGATTCTGAGAAGAAAGACATGTTAATGAGTCCTTTACCTTCCTTGATTTCGGTGCATTTAATCTTAATACACAAAGAACAACAAAGGGAGAATAGTTTGCATTTGACACCTATTCACATTTTAGAGAGTATCTAGTTAGGTGCAAGAGGTTTTAAGTATTTTAGAATAAAAAAAGAAAAAGACATATCATGCTTTTAGTGTGATTGGTATATTTTTCAAAGTACAACGTCTTAACAAGAAAATTTTAAAATACAATGCCTTAGTATGAAAGCAGAATGTGTAATAAACCAATAAATAAAAAAGCATTGCTATTTCTTGCGTTTAACCCTTATTGTTATAAGACCCTATGAAGCCTTAATTGATATAATGCTTTTTAGTAATTAGTTTCTATCTTTTATCATTTATACTACCAAATGACACTTGTTTTTTATTAATTAGGCTGCTAGATATAATGATATTGACGATGTTATAAGCTTAGCTGCTGTTGGGGTTTCTCTTGATTCCAAGGATGCAGAAGGGAGGACAGGTAAGAAAACATGCAATTTTTGTTTCTTTAAATTATTTATTATTATTATTTTTGACTTTTAGTAGTTAATTTTTTTTTTAATTTTTTTTTGTAGCACTTCATATGGCTTCAGCAAATGGAAATGTTGATATAGTCAACTATCTTATCAACAATAAAGTGGTAAGGGAGACCATACCTTTCCTATTTTGTAAAATGGAATAAGCATGGTAATGAAATAAATCATTTTTTTTAATTATAGTTAAATAGTTAATGAACTTTTATTTACAATAGAGTAAATTACACGATTGGTCCCTATGGTTTAGGGTAATTTGTGCGTTTGGTTCCTAACTTATTTTTTAACTCGGAAGGTCCCTACTGTTTGTTTTTGTTACACATTTGGTTCTTATCTTACCTAAAAAGACTATTTTGTCCTTGATTTTTTAACTTATTTAAATAAACACACCTTCAACCCACTCCTCTCACCTTACCTTACTTACCCTATCATTTTTTTCCTACTTGTCTTTTTAGATAAGACAGGGACCAAACACGTAACAAAAACAAACAGTAGGGATCTTCCAAGTTAAAAGAATAAGTTAGGGACCAAACATGCAAGTTACCCCAAACCATAGGGACCATTCGGGAATTTAATATATATGTTTCTTTTGTTTAATACAGGAAGTCAATGCTTTTAATGTCGAAAATAACACACCTCTTCATTGGGCATGCCTGAATGGCCACATCGAGGTAAATATCATTTATTTATTATTTATTATTTTATTATTATTTTATAACATTAATCAAGTGAAACGTTTGTCCGACACTTTACCTCTTTTTTTTTAGGTTGTTAACATATTGATTCTAGCTGGAGCAGATGTATCAAGCTTAAACAGGTATATATTAGTTTTGAATTTGATTTTTTTTTTTTTCAATTGTCCTCTTTAGGGAATTCAATTTTGTGTTTGTATTTTTTTTATTTTTATTTTTGTGTATATTTAGACATGAAAGGACTCCTGTGGATGAAGCTGCAATTGGTGGAAAAATGGATGTCATTGATGCCATCAACACAGCAGTTGCACAAATGGAACTCACAAGAGCAAGTGTTTGAAAACGAATGATAGTGTTTAATTTTTGTAGTTTTTTAATTGCATAGTCTCCTTATTGTATACAATAAATTGAATTAAGTTGCATTATTTTTAAGTGCTAGTGTTATATATGAAAAACTCATGTGGGGTTTGGACTTTTCACCATGTTTTGTGAGATGGTGTTATCAAGGGAAAATCTCATAGAAACCCAAAACACAACATATTGTTTCTTAATGTTAAAGAAAAAAGTAAATTACACGAATGATCCCTATGGTTTGAGGTAGTTTATGCATTTGATTTCTAACTTATTTTTTTAATTTGGAAGGTTTTTACTGTTTGTTTTTGCTACGTGTTTGGTCCCCACTGTTTTGTTTTTGTTATGTGCTTACTTTTTGTTTTATCTAAAAAGATTATTACTTAAATAAGAAAAAATAGTAGAGTAGGTAAGGTAAGGTGAGGAGGGTGAGGTTGGAAGTGTATTTATTTAAATAAGTTAAAAAATCAAAGGTAAAAATAGTATTTTTAGATAAGATAGGGATCAAACATATAATAAAACAAATAATAAAGACCTTTTAAATTAAAAATATAAGTTAGGATTAAACAACCAAATTATCCTAAACCATAGGGATCTTTCGTGTAATTTACTCTAAAAAAATCAATTTGTATTTTTGTGTAATTAATATTTGTGACTATTTTATAGCAATGTATTTTTCATCAAAAGCATAGTATAACGATGTTCTTTCATTATGTTATATTTTTCTTAGGTGCATTAATAATATTTACAAATACATGTACATGAATACTAAAATATCTCTACGTTTAAAACAATAGTATTCATTCATCTTGAAACATTCTTCTGTAAATTGTACCTTGTAATTTTGCTCATAATAGGAATGGAAAATGCGATGATATAGGGATCCCTATTTTTTCTTTGGGGTCAAAGGAGCAAAGTTATAACATGCTAGATCCGAAGAAAAGTCAATGCACCAAAAATAAGGACACAATTAATATATTTATTACCTTTTGGAACACATGCGAAACAAAGAACTTACACCTTAGGGACCATGTCAATTAATGGCTGATTCAACGACTCCCAATAAAAATTTCAACATTCCCTGTTTTGAGGAGCATCAGTATGATGCTGGGGGAAGTTTCAGCACAAAAGTGGAAATCCATGTTTAGAGTTTTTTTAGTGTGTATACCTCCATAAGCCTGTTAGGGTCATTTTGTATTAGCCCATATAAGTTCTTTGTATTTTTGTATTTATAATGCATTTAATGAGAAGATATTTTTATGAGTAAATATACTTTTACACGGTATTAGTGGCAGGGTAAGCATAATTTCTTTTTTCGTGCAATATAGAATATGTAAATTGTTCTTCAACAATTTCACTGCAGAAAAACATCGTTCATCGGTTTTAGTTGTGACCACAAGACCAAAGTAAGTTTTAATAACCTATAAACCAAAAGAAAAAACCGATGTTTCCGTGTTTCCACCATTAAACGAGAGAGGCCCGTAATTTCCTTCAAGTTGGCAACTTTGTTATTATGGAGCAAAGAGAGATAATATATATCAAGTTGACCATTAAGATGCACCTATTGTCGAATCATCAAAATCATTTTTGTATATCTCACTTAGTTTCAACAACTTTGATTTTTTAAACCTAGAAATGAATTGCACGAACTCAAAGAAGTCATTGAGTTCTCTAGCAATTCAGTGCTAAATTTACTAAATCAATCCCCAAATTCTTGGATTTGCATATCCAAAACTATATTAAAAAATCACAGCTTCAAAAAATGATGTTGATTAATCATATTAGTCCTACGGTTTCGTGGGGTAACATAATATTCCGACATTATATACTCTTATTATTTTCTCTAATAAAAGATAATACTTCAATTAAAAATCATCGATCAAGAGAGTTATTTGACTCATAATGACCACGAAACGGTAATAAAATTTTCAATAAAAATCTAAAAGTATGAGTCGTAGCATGTATGTAAGGACTTAAATTTTTTGAATAATAAAAACAATTAGTAAGATGGTTATGAAGTTTGTTATTAAATTTAAAAAGACTAGTTTAGCCAAAATGGTAGTTTGGCATATAAAAACTAGTCTTGTATAAATGTTTAACAAGGTTAAAATAACTTTAAGGAAATCTTCAGAAAAATCATAATATTTTAGGAATTTTTTAATAAAGTTCTAAATTATATTTTTTGAACAAAAAAATCATGATTTTTCACTTTTTAAATAAAAAAGCCTAAGAAATCAGCTAATTTATTCACTTTAGCCATTTTGACCGTTTAGCAGGTCATGAGACCAAATTATTAATTTTTCGAAAATAATAGATTTTTGTTTTTGTTTTTGTTTTTTATTTTTTATTTATTTATTTATTTATTTTTTTTTGCAGATTTGTCAAAATGTATATAATGTATAAACATATTTTTATGTATTTATATCTATTTTTATGTATTTGTGTATTTTTTTAAGTTTTTATATGTATATATTTACATATTTTTATGTATTTTAAATATATAAAAATATTTTTTTACTTATTTATACGTATTTTTAACCATTTTATATATTTTTAATGTATTTTTATGTGTTATTTGTTATGTATTATGTATTTATATGTATTTTTACATATTTACGTATTTTTTAAAGTTTTTTATATAGATGTTTATGTATTTTAAAAATATGAACATATTTTTTTTACGTATTTATATATATTTAAGTATTTTACATATTTTTTATGTGTTTTTTTATATATTACGTATTTATATATCTTTTAGAAGTTTTTTATATTGATGTTTATGTATATTCATGTACTTTAAATGTATAAACGTATTGTTTTACATATTTATATGTATTTTTTAAGGGATAATGACTTAAAAGAGTAATGTATTTTTCGATTTGTATACATCTGGTCACTGAGTTTTTTTCGTCCACATTTACCCATTCAACTTGTTAAACTGTACAAATTCAATCCTTATGACCGACCGGTTACTCCAGGTTAGTCGGCAAAAATGACTTAATAGGGTAATATATTTTTCATTTTGTATGCATTTAGTCCTTAATATTTTTATACTTATTTGGTCCTAAACATTTTTTGTTTCAAAATAAATCTTTTTTTTTGTACTCATTCAGTACTTATGAATTATTTCTTTAGATTTTTCTCACGACATCTCATGTGGGACAATCATTGATGAGGTGTTGGGGTTGTTGATGCTTATGTCCAACGCAATCTCGACTGTTTGGTTGTGTAAATCTTGTGGTTTGACTTAGGTCTTGTATTCTGAACATCATAACTTTTCATAGGATATCATATTTCAACGATCATTATATCCACATGTTCATTTTTTCATTAAGATTACTCCCATTAAAATGCAATATATTTTACTTATGATTTTATATAAAAAAACATCCATACATACATTGATAAAAAAGCATATGGACAGGGGCGGATGCACGAATACATAGTAATTGTTGCCGAAATGAAATAAGTGTTGCTGATACATGAAAAATAGGTATAAACGAGAAAAAAATTGAAATTTTTTTCCACTGCAAATAAAAATGATAGGTGTTGCCGGTGCGACACCGGGACCAAGCTAATTCCCCCCTGCGCATGGATATAAAAATCGTAAGTAAAAATATATTACTTTTTAATTAGAGTAATCCAAATGAAACTTGTAGTAAAATAAAATACGAACACATGAATATAAAGATCGTTCACATGAATATAGAGATCATTAAAATACGAGATCGTATGAAGAAGTTATGACGTTCAGAACACATGACCTAAGCATCCAAGTAGTCGAGATCACGATGGATATAAGCATCAAAAGGCCTAAACACCTCATTAATAAATGTTCCACCTAAGATTTATTGAGAAAAACCAACATAAATCATTCATAAGTACTGAATGAGAACAAAAACAAAAACGATTTATTTTGCAATATATATATATATATATATATATATATATATATATATATATATATATATATATAGGACTAAATGTGTACAAAATAAAAAATATATTATCCTATCAAGTCTTTTTAACCAGCTAACTTGGAGTAGCCGGTCATAAGGACCAAATGTGTACAGTTTAATAAGTTGAAGGGGTAAATGTGGACGAAAAAAAAACTTAGTGACCAAATGTGCACAAATCGAAAAATACATTACCCTTTTAAGTCATTATCCCATTTTTTAAGGTATTTTACATATTTTTTGTGTGTTTTTTTTTATGTATTATGTATTTAAATGCATTTTTGCGTATTTATATATTTTTTAGTTTTTTTATATAGATGTTTATGTACTTTTATGTATTTTAACTGTTTAATCATATTATTTTTAAATACTTATGTATTTTTTACTTCAATTCTTCTTCACCATTTCATCTAATCCTCACATCTTCTTCGAGTATGTCTAGATGGTTTTACTATATACTCATATATTTTAAGCTTTTCCCATTTGATGTTTAATTTCATGATAAGCTAATGGAAAATGCTTAATATATGTGAGTATGTACAAAAACCATCTAGACATACTCGAAGAAATTGTACGAATTGGATGAAAATGGTGAAGACGACTTGAAGTAAAAAAATACATAAATATGTAAAAAAAAAATACAGTTATACATTTACAATATATAAACATTTGTATAATTTTTATAAAAATATATAAATACATATAAATACATAATAAATAAAAAAACACATCAAAATATATAAAAATATGTAAAATACTTGTATATATATATATATATATATATATATATATATATATATATATATATAAGACGGTTATATATTTAAAATACATAAACACATATATAAAAAACTTTAAAAATATACGTACATACATAATACATAAAAATACGTTTATACATTTAAAATACATAAAACTCCGTAAACATATACATATAAAAACTTAAAAAAATACAAATATATGTAAAAATAGATATACATACATAAAAAATACGTTTATACATGATATATAAGTTTTGACGAAATCTGTAGAAAAGTCCCATTATTTCGGAAAAGTTTACGATTTGGTCCTATGACCTGCTGAACACGTCAAAAAGTGTACTAGCCGGATTTCCAGGTATATTATTTTATTTAATTATTTTGGAGTTTGTGGAGGAACTCGGCGAGTTGGAGCTGAGACTCGCCGAGTAGGGTCGCGGATGTTCATCCGGGTTCACGCCCGGACTCGACGAGTCCACGCTGGTTAATGAAACCCTAATCCCCCGGGTTTG